ATGTATACCTGCATGTGTTTTTACGGTCCTGTACAGCCAAGGAAAATTTCCCTCTGGAATAATAAAGTACTATCTTATCTTATCTCTTAGTCCCATGGCAGGTGGTCAGGATCCACCTGCACAAATGTCTACAAAGACATTTATCGAGCAGGTAATATTGCTGCACAAAAGGCGTAGATAAAGTCCTCTTAAAAACTCACCAGCTTTTGTCACAGGAAGAGAAAAATCTTGCACTGAAACTACTCAGAAAAACACGGATAACTAAATTTTGAAAATGCCCTTCTCTGCTGATAATCTTAATCTATTGACGCCTAAAAATTCCGAAACTTTTTTCAACAACACCAACAACAGGTTGTGTCAAAAGTCTCATCGAGAAAGATTTACATAGTCATTTACAATGTAACTTCTTGAGTCGTGGTTTTACGTAGGCCATCAACCGTTTCACAATTTTCTTCAGATCATCTCTATTGATATCTCACTTACCAACTCTGGCCCTTGGTCTCTCTTTCCTCAAAGACTGGCTGGAGAACTCACGGTCAGACAGAATCTGAGGAAGCAAAATAAAATGTTTGTGACACAAAAGACTAGCAAATGCATGCTGTTGAATAGAAAAAAAACCCTAAAAATAAGCACAATCTACAGCTTTATTTCACCAGGAACAATTAAAGTCAACAACAACACTTTACAAAAGCATAAGAAGTCGACCATGAAAGAACATCTACCATCAGTCCACGGTCACATAAGAGCGTTAATGAGAAAGACCCAGTAGTCTGTTTTGGAGATGTGTTAGTGAAACACCTTACTTGCCCCAAACAAAACTGAAATTTGTGTACTAGGAGTAGCTATACAGTAAATGCACGCGGAAAAAGGGTAAGAGTTCATTCAATATCTTTTGTCAGATCGATCACAGAAATTGATGAACAGAAAAGTGGGAAGACATGGAATAACATCAAGAGACTAGCCCAGGATAGAGAACGGTGGAAAGTGTTTGTTCCTGGCTTATACTCTGGTGCAGGGTGAGAAAGGCAATGATGATGATGAGTGGTTCTCAGAAGTTGGCCATATGACCTTCTGTTATTGCGAGCAACGTAAAACTTACCAAAACTCCACCTAAAAACATTGCAATTATCAAAATTTTTTTAAAGTTTATTTTTATTCTTTCTTGACTTTCTTACAATCTGCAACGAATATTTGAAAAATACTGTTCACATTAAACTCGTCATTTGCACAGAGACAATGACCAAACTGTGAACTCCACTACTGAGAGGGGCATATTTGTTGTGGTATTTTTTTTAGTTTTAGTAAGTGTTTTACGGCACTTGCAACACAATAAGGTCATATAAGTGCCGAAGATTAGAGGTGTTACAAGAGAGTAACAAACACAAAAAAGAAGGAGGGGAGATAAAGACGATAGATGTTTGAAAAGAAAGAAAAAGCAAACCACACCACACCAGAGCACCCGCCAACCACCCACTTGTTGGGGTATGAAATATGGATACATGGATACGTTTGTTTAATTTCTTTTCAACGAAAAAACAAAGCTACCGAGCAACATTCTAAACGGTTCATGACTAGATACACACATACAATTACATTGAAGCACAGTTGAGTTATTTTTCTTGTGGTCACCACTGGGAGGTTCTTTCACCTGATCAGACAAGTGGTGCGCCATGACAAAGAAGATGAAACGCATGTCCATACATTTCAATCCACTCAATTTTAAAAGAAGAATTTTATTACAACTGATAATATTTTTTTGTAAGAACTAATATATTTTTGTCATTTAAATTAAGTACCATTTGAGTGTGTAATTGGTTCTGTCTTTGTGACCCAGACTTATAAAAGACACCCAATCTGTGATTGGTTTTAAAAATCACAGTAATAATAATAATAGTAATAATAATAATAATAATAATAATAACAATAATAATAATAATAATAATAATAATATATTATTGTAATAATAAATGGCCTTTATATAGAGTTCAACCCCAATTAAAGTACACAGGCTTTGAGCGCTTTACAATACAACAGTAACATAAAGCGTTGTGTTCTGACCAAAAGAAAATCTCTCTAAATATTCATCTTATTTATTTGAAAACATAAGTGACTTAAGTGGACAATTGAATGAATCAAAGGATTTGATCTCTCCTGAACTACTTTGCAAAGCATTCCAGATCTTGGGGTTGTTACATTCAAATGCCCTTTCACCCATTGTTTTAAGTTTCATAGATGGGGAAACAAATTTCTCTTTGTAAGCGGATGACCTTAAACTGTTAATTGGAATGTACAGTGTCAACATAATTTATTTGATATATGATGGCACATCATCTCATTCAAGGACTTGCGACATAGAGTGACCAACTTGCACATAATGCTTTCCTCAACAGGAAGCCTGTACAGTGTCCGTAATAGAGGTGTAGCAGAGTCTCGTTTTCTTTTCTGTAAAACTAAAAGTGCAGCATTGTTTTGGACAGTATTTTTCAAAATCATGAACTGAATTTACAAAGTCCACCGTTTCAGCTGATTTCCTGTAAAATAATAATTTTTTTAAAGTAATGAGAACATCTAATGCTGCTGATACAATATCTGTCAAACAATACATTTTTAAAGTGATGAGAACATCTCATACTGCTGATACAATATCTGTCAAACAATACATTTTTAAAGTAATGAGAACATCTCATACTGCTGATACAATATCTGTCAAACAATACATTTTTAAAGCAATGAGAACATCTCATACTGCTGATACAATATCTGTCAAACAATACATTTTTAAAGTAATGAGAACATCTCATACTGCTGATACAATATCTGTCAAACACAAACCAGGCAGATGGAGACAACAGTAAAACATAATTCGTCTATGGAAAGAAAAGCTCACAAATAATTTGTCAATGTTCAGTGAGATGAGACCAAAAATTAACACTAACACTAGGCCCCTATTTGTTGGTACAGCCTTCTTCCAGAACTGTTTTCTTTGCTTTTCCATGACGCAAAAATTGTAGAAAAGATCTCGCAGCACAAGCCTAAATCAGTACAAAGACTACAAACTTTGCTGCAAAAAGGAAGCACTCATAAGAAAGTCTCACAGAAGGTATATTGCTCTGACCTTGTAACAGGAAGAAATCAATCAACTCATTTTTTTGGCTTAAAATCATCGCAAGGTCGATTAGGAAGTTTTTTAAAATAAAATCAGAGGTCAGAAAGCACTATAAATAGTATAAAAGTACCAAGTACTGCCTTTTGTGTCTACTCTCATTATACAAATAAAAAGAGGACTTTTCGCTGACTGAAAAATTTTCAAGCCACGAGCTACACCATTAAAGTATAATACAGTCAACATAAAAAAGCCAAAGACAAATATTACAATACAAAAAGTAGTTCATCAGATGAGAATACACTGCCGTAAAAATAGTGCAACTACTATGAAAAAAAGCTCCCACAGTCTCTGGTTTACCTTTCTCATGCTCTCCGTGTGCTGCCCGTTGTCTGAGGGAGGACTGGAGGCGGACAGGCCCATTGATGAGCTGGTCTCCCCTCCATGGAGAAACTTTTGTCGGAACTGATCCATCACCGCGTCAATCTTCGGAGTGATCAGAGACTGGGGAGTCACACTCTCCTGGTAAGAAAAACGGAAAAAATAAAACTGCGTAGTGTTGAACAAAGGTTTCCTGGATTCCTTCATGTATGATCAGAAGAGAACTATTCTCTCTCAAGTTAATAATCATTCAGCAAAACACATCAAAAGAGTAATCAATCACAAAGGTTTTTTTTCTAATTTTCTACTAAGAAAAAAAATGTAAGCCCTGTGTGCATCTTACCTTTGGCAAAGCCACCTGAAAGCTGAAGGTTGCTGAGATACAATTCTAAATCCCTATCCAAAACTGGACATACCTTGGTCAGTCAGTACACAGAAATTAAAGTACCTCTAAATTTAGGACATAGCTAACTAAAAGGCAAAGGACAATAATATAACGACACAATTTGCAAGGAAAAAAGACTGTGACCTAATTAATTTTTTTTAAGTAGCACAATAGGTCGACAAAAAAAAACTTCAGTTGCTTACCCTTGAGGAATGAGGAAGAAGGAAGAATACAAAATTTATTTTTAAAGAAAGGCGCATCTAGAATGACCACTGATAACATTTTCTCTTATTAGTTAATAATCAATTATTTTGTCGCAAGTTTTTGTGACCATCAGCCAAAAGTATAATTTCCCATAGAAAAGTATTACAAAACTTCATTTAGTTTCAGATAATAATTATGATTAGTTCCTCTTCAAAATTAATTTTCCCTGGAGTAAATTCCCTTCTAACTACGTAAGTAAGTCTGTATGCAATTAAAAAGTGCTGCTGCGGAATTTAAAAACCTTGAAAAAGAGCATTCACAGTAAGAAATTACTTATTTTTTCATATAAAATAAAGAATAAAAATGATAGTCAGTATTAAAAGTATGTTTCATATGTTGCATATTATGCCAATGAAACTGCTGGTTGTCTTGAAAATGTTTATGAGCAAAAATTTATAGGACTTTTACTTTTTAAAATCATTCCAAATTTTCTCTGACCGGGTTAGTTTTTCCCTCTAGCTGTGCTTGCTTCACATTGTAAACAATTAGCTTGCTTATTCATTTTCGTTCTTAATGGGGTGCTTCTCAGTTTGCACATGTCAAATTTTAATTCTTTTTAAATCATCACTTTCCTCTCAGTCAGTTTCAGGAAAAGTCAGTTTACTGAAATATTACATTAAACACCAGCAATGAAACTAGCCAGAAGCTTGCTGTAACATCTGCAGACATTCAATGTGAAATTTCCAAGTTTTTGGCTTAAGAATTTTTTTTTAAAACCTATTTTTCAAAAGACAAAATTACAAATTACATGATGAATAAGTTTTAAGGATAACTTAAAAACAGAAAAGCCACTAAAAAAAAATATTGCAAGCATCATAGCTCTAACTAGAATCTTTTATTAAAGAATGTATACCAAATACTGGCAAATTTTCGAAGCCTTAAGTTTATAGTTTATGAATAGATTTATAGTATGAAAGTAAAAGCTAAATTGTTTAATTAAAAGAAACGAATCAGCAAAAACTGACCTGCAACCACTCGAAAAGAGCGCGAACAAATTTTCGAGAAGGGAGGTAACTGATAATGGAATAAAGGGAAAATTCAAAGAGCGGTCATTTCCCTTGCCATATCCTTCTATTTTAACCACGCTCTTCCAGCGACAATAATATTGGATTTAGATCTGTCATTGGCAAAACTGGGGAGAAGTTGAAAGCTACGAATTTTGTTAAAACCAAGGTCAAACAAAGATTCCACAATTTAAAAATCCATTACAACCCATGTTAAAATTTTTAAACTTACAGCAAGAAAAAGAAAGAAAACAGCTAGAATCTAGATCTAGATCTAGATCTAAATCTAGGTCTAGACAAGATCTAGACCTCTAGACTCTAGATCTAGAGTCTAGATCTAATTTCTTCAGACCCCTGGAAGTTAATTTCAAACTTGCCACATCATATAGATTCCTTAAAAGTTTAGAGGCCAAGCAAAACAGAGCAGAGTTGAGATACCATAGGTGTTCTTATTTCAGTACAAGCTGAAAGTGCCTTCTATTTCAATGGATGTTAGAATTAGAGATTGACCTTTTTTCTCTCAAAAGGCCGGCTCTATTTATCCGAACGGTCAGGAAAATAAACTTGAACTCTATTTCTCCGAACGGTTTCCGTTTTTCAGATTTGTTGGTTATTTGCGAAAGAAGTGGCCCGTATGTGTGTGTGTGTGTTTGTGTGTGTGAGCATGCGTGTGTGGGAGTGAGAGTGTGTGTGTATATAAGGAGTGAAACGGGGGGGGGGGGGGGGAGTACCTTTTGAAGGCATTTACAAATGAAGTATAGTCCGGGAACGTTGCCCTAACCACAACTGAAGTATCTGAATATTCAGATATTTAAAAATCTCTAGCTCTAGAAATTGAATTCGATGCAAAAAAATGCTTCTTCCCAGTGTGTCCTCACAGAATGGCAGAATGAAAGATGACGTCTAAATCTCGCAAACAACCAAAAAATCTCGAGAACGGAAACCGTTCGGAGAAAAATAAAGGTTATGTTTATTTTCACGAGCGTTTGGAGAAATAGTCACTTCATATTTTTAAAGACTCAGAAAACCATAGGCCTACAACTACAGGGCACCAAAGCAAAAAGCAACGTATTAGGCAATTCTAGCACCAAAATAACAAAAACATTATTTTATTGAAGGCTACCCTTACTGTCTTTACATTTTGACCAGATTTTCGTGTTAATTTTGTCAGTATTAACACTAAACATGCTTCAAACAATAGAAAATGTGTAGCAGCGATGAATCTTCATAAAATTTGCCTTGCATTAAAAAGAAGAGAGACCTGGTCTTACATGAGAAAAATATATAATAAAAAATCTCTGTATCTCCTAGGAAGTATCTACCAAAAAGCCCCGGTGAGCTTTGAGTGGCAGGGCAGACAGACAGTAGCCTTCTAAATTATTCAAGTTGATGAGAGAGGCAGAAAATTGTAAATAACTAAATTAACTGTCAATCTACTTTGAAGTACCGCATACAGCCCAGATTTTGATAAAGACATCAAGATCAAAGAAGCCAGTAAACTTTTAAAATTTTCTAAATAGCACTGACAGTAGCAGCATAACAAAATAAGACGCACAATAACAGAATTAGATGTATTCTAACAGAACCAGATGAAGCTCACCTGTGATGATTGTTCCTTCTCACTGGACAGTAAGAAGTCCAAGTAAGCTTCTAATCCTGCCAGAAAAAAAAAATTCACATTAGTACACAAGAATCCGAGCATATTAGCAGGTCTTTTACTTGGCACAACAATAAATAATGCCTCTACTTCTTCACTCAATATCAATCATTTGTCCTTTACAACTAGATCTAGTTATAATTTAAAAAATATTTTGTTTACCGGTGCTTCAAATAATTAATTTTTCCTCAATTAACAACTCATAAAGTAGATGAAGGGCACAATAAAAGTACGGACAACAAATATGTCACAACGCTGTGGAATCAGGCGCTCATCATTTTTTTAGCTTATGGAGTTATTAGTATCATCTTCAAGTTTGTTCAATTCTCTTCCTCTGAGTGAAAAAAGAAATACCAATCGATCTTGAATAGAAGTCGCAAAATTTGATCTTGCATGAGATGGGAGTAGTCTGATTTCAGAGGTAAAATTAGCGAGAAAATGACCTGTTCCATTGGAAACTGAAAATCTGCAATTTCTTAGTCTTTTAACGGCGTTTTTCAGTAAAATCCACAAAGAAATGTGTTTCCAAACAGACAGAAAAGTAAGATTTAAGATGTTGCGGCAGAAAACAAAAATGTAAGAAAAATGTCCAAACCTACAGAAAAAAAGTTTCTTCCATTTCAGTATTTTCAGTATTTTAACGAGCGCCTGATTCCACCGCATTGTGCCACAAATGTAAAAATGCAAAGACTAGAAGGATGATCCACTTGCATGTGCTCTAACCATCTGTATCTATTAGACCTAGTACTAATTTTTAAAATATTTTCGCCAGCAGCTCAGACACAACATGCTCTAACTTAGCATGGATTGAAACAAATCATTTCATCAATTATTTTTTTCATATACTTTTCTTTCTATCAAATCACTCTTGTCATAATGATCATCCCTCAATTCCTGACTCTTTTTCACTATGTCTTCAAACGTACAGTCAACATTAACACATTAAACAGCATTTCTCTACTGGTACTTGGAAAGGACACAGTGTACCAAGCTGAGACCTTGGATTCCAAAGTCTTTACTTCCAACAATCCAACATGACCAACTTAGTTGTTTAAAAATAGATGTTTGAAGGCATCACAAATTATAGATAATAGGCCTATGCATATCATCAGCCAGTGTTCAGACGAATGGAACCCAAAATTATTTTTTTCCCTTCTTTTTTTAACTTGCAGTCTCTATTTGTAGTATCGGTCGCGTGTTGACACATATTTTGTCTAAAGCAAAATTCTAAATGTTGAACAACAAAAGAAAAGACGCATAGATCTACCGTAGGTACTATTGTTAAAGAGTAAAAAATCTTTTTACTCTCTCCTGAAAAAAGTTGCATTCTGGGCATGGAACCAGTCAACAGCTTGCCAACAATATCGAGAAACAATTTAAAGAGATGGAGAAAAACTGAAGCTAGAACAAATCTTGCTCCCTTTGTACTCCTCTTGATTTTAATACGGTCACTGTAAACATATTCTTAAACAGCCGGACTGCTAATTGTGGCATTGCAGGTTCGGGAGTTTAAGCCTCAGCTCGGTCTAACCTTGTGTCCTTAGGAAAGGCATTTTACACGAATTTCCCACTTGGCTCGGTCCTTTCATAGACGTTAAACTCGGAAGTCCTGCTTCATATATAACCCTAATAGTGTTGATAGGGGTGTTAAACCTATACCATTTCAGCATTCTGTCTCGGGTAAACTAGAGTAAAATGTTAAATCAAAAATGCTGAAGAGGTATTCACCAACCTGGTATAAATGACACATTATCCAACGTTGAGTTGAATTTGCCTGACCTGTCTAAGTCATTAATTGATTCCAACTGTGGTAAATTGGAGAACAATTCTGTCTCATATCCTGTATGGAAAGACAAAATGGATGAGTAAATGAAGAATGGGGTGTCCATGTAAAGAGCGACGTCTTTTTCTTTGTTTTGACAAATGTTATTAAAATGAGCACAGTATCCGGTAATTTGTTTTAAATACACAAGGCATACAGTCTTTTTAAAAATACAAAATGTAGTTAGATCTACATCAATATACGCAATGTTAAGTGATGTATGAAAAGTACTATTATTTTAATACAGATTCTTAAAATATTATATATATTTGATATGCCAAATTTATTTTACGAACTCAAATCCTTCCCAAGACAAGTGAGCTTCTTTCACTCTCAATCTATAAATTAGACAAATCAGAAAAAGCAACCATGGGGCAAAAGGTGAAGACTAGACTGACTTATTTTCACAATGAAATCACAAAAAGAACAACAATTTGAGTACGTCTAGTCATACTTTTGTCACACAATCACGATCATTGTCACATTCTTCGTTATGCACACGTAGTGTAATATAATCACTACAGCTTCACAAAACTAATGATGTAGAAGTCATTATCCTAAAAAAAACACCAACAAGCTTGATAATTTAATTACCTAATAATCTCTTTCTGCTTGTATAATCAATAGTAATGAAATCTTAAGGGAGGTCAACTGCAATTTTTTTCCAACCAAAGCACAAATGCTTTTTGAAGACATACTTTTTCTGCTTGAAAAGGACACCACAATTTTAACAAAATTCTTTTAAAAAGAAGCATTATACCTTGATGGGAACAAATAGGATTGCCAGATCCATCCTGAGTCAAAACCAAATGGCGTAATGATTTGACGGTTCTCAAAGAATCCACAACATGTGCTACACTGCGCAGCTTGTTTCCGTGCAGCGAGACGTACTGTAGCTGACTGTGCCGAAATCCAAGCTCAGCCAAACCACCAATGTCCCTCACTTGGTTGTAACTCACATCAAGTCTCTGAAGTGACCTACACAAACATCACATTACATACTTTTTTTTTTTACCATTTAAAACACAAAATAAGGCATTAGTACAAGTATGTTTTTTTTCTAAATGATAAAGGAAAATAAAAAAAGGAAAAAGAACCAGCCCTTTCATTAATAACTAGGCATATCATTGAGTCAAGAAAACAGGACTTTAATATTACCTTCCAGCATGCAAAATGCCTTTATAAAAATTAAAAAAGAAGAAGAAAAAAAAAATCAGCTTTCATAGTTGACTAAGAAGAGGGAAATTCTAGTTCACCTTAGAATGATTGAAAAGGATTTAAATTAGAGACAAATTTCAAACATTCCGCATACCCTGTGCCAAAAGGATCATAAAAGAAAAAATAATCCGCTAGATTATAAAGAAAAGTTTTTAAAAAATTTTTACAGAAAGGAGAAAAGTCAATATCTGAAGTTCTACTTCACAGCTCATCTTAACCAAAAATAGTATAGACCTACGTATATTTTGCTTCGAACAAGTTAGGCAAAAAGTGACGAGAAATTAGAAATAAAAGCTGAAAAACCCATTTAAATGCACATCAACCACTCACTCATAGGCCTATACTGCTCAGAAGCTAAACAACGGTAAAATAGCGGAATTGGTCAAACTTATAATTTGTGCAAAAGATGTTACAGAATTAACCTGAACATGCCATATCCCTATTCTCCAGGGCAAAATAAAAAACTTTCTTGATCTGATGACAAATTGATAGGTAGAAGTACAGTATATAAGACAAGAATGAAATGCAGTTGTAATTTAGGTGGAGATTTTACCTTAAATGAGATACTCCATCCACAGAAGTGATGAGATTACAGGATAGATTCAACGTTTTCAGCGACTCCAGCTTTTCCAGGCCATCAAGAACAGTGATTTGATTGGCCGACAGATCGAGATGTGCAAGCCGCACAAGATGAGACAAATTGCTGATGTTTTGGATGTGGTTCCCATGAAGGTTGAGGCTCTCCAAATAGCTCGGCAATGACAATGACCAAATGTTGCTGATCCCAGCATCAATCAAAGACAAATGTTTTGAATCATTCGACACCGCCATCTTTTAATAAAAAACACCGGCAAAGTCTCCAAAGAAATCCTCTTCGTCACTGTCAATAAAGTCACCACAAGCACTTTCAAGACAAATAAAAATGTTTCTTCGTCTTGTCACACTGCATTGAATTTACAAATTATCCACAAGAAACATATAAATTTATATGGGAATAGGATAAAAAAAAGAAAAAGTTTGCGTCAGTGAAGAGCAGAGGTGTGCGCGCTTCAAGTTGCACTGATATGATCTGATATAATTACTCTTAAACAGCACTGGTTTTTTTATTCATATATATGAAAAAAAATAGAAAAATTTTTTTAAAGATATTTTGGCCTTAAAACCAGCTGCTGAAAATTTATTGTTACCCATTGGTCAACTTGGGTAAAACATTGGGAGCGACCTAAGCAACATGACCATTTCATCCATTGGAAGGACTGACTCTAATAACGGCAGGTGAATGAATTACGACGGCTTGTCCAGAACGTCAGGGGAAAATGTATAATTTTTTACAAAGCCTGGCTGTCTCAGGCAGGGAAATTTGACCATGGGTTGATAAAACTAGGTGGCCACAGCCGCGATGGACAGGTGCCCATTTTACACAGTTAAATTAAATATATAGAAAAACCGCAAGGGGGGATTGGAAAGTGGCCGTTTGTACAGGCGGTTGTATAATACAGGAGACCGTCATGGCCGGTTCGAACTAGTACGGCGAGCCCATTTTCTGGCATGATAAAAGATCTAATGATTTTTAGTCAATTAATATATATATGGAAATCATCGTTAGTGACCTACGAACAATCGATCAAATAGTTGTTAAGTCAATAAAATCCTTCGAACCTTATCAAATTTATCCAAGTTAAAAATTCACACACATAACTGCTCAGTGTTTCTACAAAGGTTTCTTATGCTGCCTTGCGTGCAATCATGAAGCAATGTTGTTTCAACACCAAATCAAGAATGAGCGGAAAGTTAATACAAAGCATGGGGTACCAGGAGTAGGCTGAATTTCGTATGAGTGTAGTGTAGAAGTACAAAGTGGAGACAAAAATGAGACAAACTCAGTCCAGTCTCATATATCACTTTGTCTTTCACTTAAGCTGTCGTCATTCGTCATAATCACAACAAGGAGTAGCCTACCCACCCAGAGATTGAAATATTTACGATGGTGCAAAGGGAAAGACATTGACCTTTGAGTAGAAAAACATAAAACCGAAATTTAAAATTATGATCTAAAAGGCACTTAATGTCTTGCTATAGACTATAGACTAAGGCTGGATGTGTCACATTGTCTCAGTCTGTAGTCTCTCTTTCTAGACCTTTAGACTCTAGGCACATCTTAAGAGAATGTTCAGACTTTGGAGAGATCCAAAGAAAGTAATTTTTATGTGTACAAAATTGAAAGATCCGTTCTCCGTCACTGATCCCACCAGAATTCTCGAATTGGCCTGCGCAAAAAAAAAAAAAAAGAATGTACCGTTATTTTAAATTTAATTTAATTAAATATGTAAATTATTGCTCTTATTTTTACGACGAAACTTTTACCAATTTACGATGAATTTGTAACATATTTTAGTCGAATTATTGCCCAAAACCAAGCAGTATTGAGAACTGTTGTGAACGAAACCAACTTGAGTTTCACGCATTCATATGACCTTATGCAGTTGCGAGCCCCGTAAAATAAAATAAAAGACCTAGAAAAGAGCCTAAAGTAGAGCCACCTATCCAGCTATCAAGCCTGGGTCTGGATACAGAGAGTTCTAAAAATGTAAAGTCTATATATATATATATATATTTATCTAGGACTATTTATAGCCTAGACATTTAATATCCATGCTCAAGAGCTTGCTCTATGCACTTTACAACTATTATTAGCCCAGCAGACCCTCTGAGAACACTCAGAAACATTTTCAGCTTCCGCGGAAGCATACAGTGCAAGCTGCGGATTTCATGCGCTCAAACACTATCAAACTGACAAGATCTTTCACCATCTATAGCTGGGTACCCATTTCCACCTGGGTGAAGTGAGGAAAATTTTGCAAAGTGCCTTTCCCAAGGACAAAACGTCGGGCCCCTGACGAGATTCGAACCCACGACCTTACGGTTGCGAGTCCGAGAGCCTAACCACTAGCAGTTGCGAGCGCCGTAAAACTTTATACTATACATACATATATATATTTATCTAGGACTATTTCTAACTTAGACATTTAATAAAAATCAGGACTTATTTTCTAAATTTAATTAGAACAAGTGATGCCTATCCACCAAAATAAAATAATTTAAAAAATTAATCCCTTCCATGCTTTATGACGTACCCGGTAGTCATCTTTTATGCGTAATTTTTAGGACTGTAACATTTAACATGCCGTACCATGTACGTCACCAAAGTTGGCAATATCCGCTCGTGGTTGCCTCTATACAACAATACAACGTCACAAACTAATAACCTAATTAATTCTTTTGAACGGAGTTTTAGCCACAAGTGCTGCGTAGATTCATATTCGGGAATAAAAGATGCGCATTATATTGAACTAAAGTTGCGACTAGATCTACTACTTTACTGCTAGAGTCTGGGCTAGCAGCGATCAATATAAACACACCATAGATCTAGATACCTGGGCTTGTTGTGGGCGGCCTCATGCTCTCGTAAAACATAGAAATCTAGAGGCTAAACTTCGAAATGACTTTATTGAAATGGCAAATAAATTCACTTTTTGACGTACATTTGCAGGTTATTCGAAATCGATGATGAGCTAAATGGGAGGAAATAGGAAGGTACTTTTTTACTTTCCTCCCGTCTCACACTTAGCTACCAGTTGTCCATTTTCGACTAAATATTGATGTAATGAACACGAATATCAACTTCATTTCCGTCGTAAATTAATAGTTTTTGAAATATCTGATTGTTCTTAATACCATAGGGAATAAGAAAAGTGACACAATCGAAGACCCAGCTGGCCGATGTCACGTGAGCCAGATCTAGATAGTGCATACATTAACACTGAGACATTATTATTATTAGTCTGCTGTCCTGGGTAACGAGCTCAGCTGACCGTAGGAACGCATACCCCCTGGCAACTAAAGGGTTAAAAAAAAATGCTCGAACGGAGTCTGAAGTAATGCTGCGCGATTTTCAGGAGACAAAATCATCGAAGCTTCGAAGCGTGAGCTCACTATTCATGAAATTGGAATACCTCAGTCGAATGTTTTTTTATCTATGACTAGCTGGGCCCCCTTTCAATGAAAGGAATGATCGGTGCATTAAGATCAACTGAATATCATTGGTCTACTATATTTACACTACTGGAATGGAGCAATAAATCTTGAGAGAAAAGTGACACATGTTTTTCCAAGTTGCCAAATATATAATAAATGCATAGATTGACTCTCTATTCAGCTTTCGTGGTTGTACAGAAGCGTGTTGATTGTTCCCAGTAGCAAGAAAAAGAATTTGACAAAGAAGTCCAGAAAAA